ACAATATCCGTTTTCGTTGGGTTGTGCATAGTCACAACGAAAGTTATACATATTTGTTTAAATACATTTACTTAAGAAGGGACATTTAAACGCACGGATGTCTGTCTGATTGATTGTAAAATCTACTCATAAGAGTACCAACAATTTTGTGCATACTCGTATAGTTCATACGTACTTGTTCGCTCACTGTCGCTCAACATTTCGTATGGATTTGATTGACTGAATTGTTTTTATTTATCCAGTAAATTGTTCTATAAGTCCTTGTTCACTTTTGATGATGATGATATGATGCGAGGATCGTCATTGGTGAACCAAGTGTTTCCAAGCCGGAAAAAAGAGGGATACCAATGGTGGCTGAAAGCTCGCTGCTGACGCCGTAAATGTTTGCCGTGTTTGACACGCGTCATGCTTCCTCATCTTCCTCAACGCACTGCACGCTTTGAGTATCCGGCTTCGTGGGGCATCCGTCAACGTCACCACGATCAAATCACCCGTGTGTCACCTACCTACATTTACTGAAGTTGTTTCAGCCTGGTGTTTTGCTTTCCACTAACCACCAGCATCGACACGTGGTAGAGCGACGGCAGTAGCTACAGCAGAAAAGCGTACGAATACTGGCAGTCGTAGCCCGACTTCAAACCATAGCAGCGGTGCATCCAACCTATTCAATATAATCTATTTTGAAGGAGATACCATCTCCGGGTCTTCAAGAATTTGTGTACTGTGACAACCAGCGCTGATATTCTGCATGCAATTTACTCCATAAAACGACGTCTTGGTGTGCGTAGTATAAATGTGCAAAGTTATTAGAGCACTTCTCGTGAAGAAAGAAAAATTCGCCATGTATTTCAAGGTTTGCCCCTTTTGTATTCACGAATAAGTTATGTAATATTATTTTAGCGGGGTCATTGACGACAGCAATCCCAACTTTGGACTCCATTTCCAAAAAATGCGACACAATCACCCCAATTCACCGTGATTCAGCCAACAGCGTCTCCAGCTTAGCAAACCATCTGCTGACACTTTCATCGTTCGTTTGCTTCTGGTTTCACTCCAACAAAATACTAGATAGCTGCACACAATGCGTAATCGAATTTAGAGCACAACAATGGCAACTGGGTGCACACAACCCCACCAAACGACACATCAGCGAGGCAAAATTCAGGCGCAGCTGGCTGTCGAATCAGATAACTGACCTGTCCAGAACAATCGACATGAACTAATTACTGCGCGGATGGAACACTTGGGACTTGATGGTTGTACAACGGAGATCAGTCATTCATCGCTCGCGTCGTTTTCCAGCTACTATAAAACTGCATGTCTGGTGAGTTATTCTTCGCAGTGTCATCAGGTAGCATTTGCTTACAACTTAGGGGTGTCTGTGAGCTTTTCATTCTTCAAATTAAATGGGACTAAACTGACTACCGTTAAACTGTAATATATTTGTAACACAACAAGAAGTTTTCGAGCAGCCCTATGACAGAAACAGAGGCTGAGTATGCACAATTACGTTGTGTTTGTAACTTTATGATCGGTGAAGATATTCTTATTTTCATTTTTAATTAGTAGTCGTTGTTTACAGAATTCTTGTGGAAACAATCTGCGGACATCGTGAAACGATTCATGCACTTCTTTCATTGGGGTTTGGTAGACTCGCACAACCACAACCTTATCCAGTTGTATCTTGTCAGCTGTCGCCACGCCTTGTATAAGGATACGAACTTCAGTTGCCGGTGCTTCGCTTGTTTCTGAATCATTTCTTGCATGAGGTTGGTAATAGTAGATTCGATGGAAGTATATTTCACTTTGAGTCGCTGTAACCGTGGTGGTTCACAACAAGGAAAGTGTCCAGCACTTAGGGGCTAATACAGGTGAAGTAAATAGAATATGCTAGTGTAATTTACTACTGTGAGTTGAACGAGGATTTGCAGGACGATCGCTGCATCTTTGAGTAGAGCGCAGTTCGCTGTTCGCAAAACATGGGTCAAGGTATTGCTTACCGCGTCCGACATCTCTTCTGACTTCACAAGCTTCGAACCGCATGAACGGGGTAACACGTCCGGCAAACGTCACAGCCGAGCCGTGCCCCCGGTCGAGCTGCAGTGTACAGAGTCCCAAGGCACAGTAACCCCTATTTCTGCGAACTACCGATGTTTTGATGCAAATTTTTAAACCAAGACAGTGGTGGACACTGCGCCGATCAAACGGCTAAATGCCTTCCGTGTTCCACCTTCTCCTATGCGAAGCATCACCTCACGTGTGTCTGGTTCAGTCTAGAAATCTGCAATGTGTTCTGATGGGTAGCCTGAGAAAAAGTTTGTTGCCACAGCTACCCAGTTCTTCCACACATATCCACAATGTCGGCTCCTGAAAGCTTGCAAAAACGTTGTCACCGACGTCGCAGAGATTGATGTGAACGTATCGCTGCAATTTAGTTGACCTCTGTCTATTTGCTACAATGGTAAGACAAGCATCTTCCAGGATACGGAAGAGTATAGATGTGGCTGACTAATAAATGTGTTGCATGGTTATAGTTGTAACCAGCAGGTCAGAACAAACTTTAAATGTTGATCGTGAAGACCACGATTTTTAGGCGTCGTTCAACCCTCTGTGAAAGAAACTAGTGAGACAAGGACAATCGGTCGGTGCCGCCAAAATATTTGCGTTGAGTGGAACTTTTTAGTGACCTCATCTACGAACCTTATGCTTAAATACAAAACAGAAGTGATAATGTAAGCGGATGTAAGCGTACGCTTCTTTGGAAGAGTGTCAAACGGTTGCGGACTAATAATACTTATAATACATTCTGGTTTCTTCTTTAATGAGACTTGTTTTTTATTTGAGGTTCTCTACGGTAGTGATAACAAAGTCAGGACCAGATAGTTCGCGTTGGTTGCACGCAGAAATCCCATTAAACACTTTCGAAAGGTGAATCTAGAGCCACACCGAATCATACACTTTTCATCTCTTAGCAACGTACACGGACCGATTCTGAGCTATATGTCTTTTGCCTGTAAATCTGTTCGAGCAAATGTAAATCGAATTCAGAATGGTGTTTATAGTTCAGCAAAGATTCTGGAACAAACCCCTGACCTCCTCAAACCAATTTGGTGCTCAGTTAGTTACATATAAAGTAACCTTCATGATGAAACCTGACTACTATAATAGAACCAATTTCGTTCCACTCGGAGATGCAGCCTCTTTGGATCCGATTTTACAGTAAAACGCGGTTGGTGTAACTTATTTTTGCGCTTTGTGAGGGGAAAAGTTTTCCTTTGGAGAGTTAACACTTGTGAATAGTTACCTTGAGATGATGTGTTTGCCCCAAGTGGAATAGACTGAAAAACGCCTGTGGTTAAAATCGGGCCACCTATTTTACGTTGATCTTTGCACCCTGTTACGAAAGTGTGCTCTTAGTTTCGGTCTGAAACACGGGTGTAACTGAGTAGTTGGGGAAGAGTGGTTCGGGCAGATTTCAGTTCTTGTCTTATTTTGCCAAACCCGAACTCCCTTGAACACTGGATATAGGAGAACTTCATTCCTAGGTGTGATGTTCGGATGTGAATGTGTACCCTGTGTAGGAAGGGTGACGAGTCTGCCTGCGCAGTAGTTTGTGATCAGGTTTGCCTCCAGGTCTATCCATCTATTTGGTCTGTGGTACTCGTTTGGTGCTATGTAAAAAAGTGCCCCTGTCAAGCCTGGCTTGTACATAATGTGCGATAAAATATTAAAATATAGAAAAATGACCAACCCTTAAAGCTCTACGGTAAGCAGCTCGATGGTACCGAGTCATATGAAAATCAAGAACAGGTAATCTTCCCTCCGATTCAATCTTCCGAGACGTTGACCGCTTGAAGTGGACATTATGAATACCATCGAAGAATGCACTAAAATTATCGAAAGCTGGAAATGAAATATTACCTATATATCGTTTTTTACAAAAAAGGGCCTGGGCTATCATCACAGAGTTCATCTTCATCTTCTACCAGCTGAATATCAGCTAACTTTGGGACTAAAAGGGTTCCGAAAGCAACACCCTCTTGAAGTCGTTCTTCCATAATCAGAATGAATAATTTATATGTGCGAAGCAGTCTAAGTTCCTTAGGTAACTCAGCTGGCACGCCTGGTGTTCAGTACTAAGGATACGAAGTCAGTTTACTTTTCATCTTGGTTGGACGTTGGTGAAAAGAGGAAGACTTAATGAAAATCAATTTTAAGATATTACTCGTAAACTGCCAAGTGCCGGCAATTTCAAGAGGAGTCTTCCACTGAGGCATTAAAACTCTTCCAATCGAGGGTAAAATTTCCCTCTGTAGATGAGCAAGTTTACGAGGGGCTGCGTTTGGAACGTTTCGGTTTCATTTCTCCCTCATTTCTGTCTCGCACATCTGTTTCGATGGCAAGCTTAGTTTTTATAGGCCTAACGAACCCTTTACATGTAAGTTTGTCATAATGAAGATTCGTGAGTTTCCAATATGTGGTTTAGTGACGCTCAACCGGTTCTAAGCATCCAATAAAACGCCCAGGATTTTTATGGTCATTTCGGAACAAAAGTAGCGAACAGTTCAAAAGAATGTGAGGTGGTCTCCTTGCAAGAGCAAACTGTTTCTTTTTGATATAATAATATATTTACACTTGAAAATCATGTGAAATTATGGAATGGGTTGACGTTTCAGAGTGTGAATCTCCTTCTCTTTGCAGGTTCCGCCAGTGGTCCTCGCTGGAGAGGACATATACCAATCAGGTGCTGACTCATTAGGATAGAATAATCAACCAACTGCCCTGGGTGACCACACCATCAAAAAACTAGACTTTAAGCAAATAAATCCGAACAAAGATCTTTTTCCCTGACTATGTTATCGAAATAGCATTGATGTCCTATTTTATTTAGGTTTAACGCAGCCACCCAAAAGTGCATTATTATATTAACGGATCGAGATAGATACCATTCTGAATACAATCAATTCGAACCGGTGTAACATAGGAGATCAAAAACTCACAGGTACTTCTGGGAGCTGGACATTTAACCATCCTTTCTTTACGACGGGTTCAGAACCGTGATAAAAATTGGACATTTTGTGCGATAATCCAAAATAATAGCTAACTGATGCACAGAGCCTTCATGGCTGGAGCTACATTCATCCCGTGTTAGAGCCCTCAATTTAATCAAGCCAACACTGTGAATTCATTCATCAGCAACAAATGTAAATAACGGTTGAAGTCGTTCATCCATGGGTTAAATCGATTGCGAACGTGTGCGAGACTGCAACGACCAATATGCTGCTTCACATGCATTCTTCTCAGTCACGTGACAAATATGGGAGTTAACTGAAGCCCTATGAATAATGGGCCTTAGATTCGACAGCGGTAATAATCGTGTAACAAACTGGTGCTATCAACCTAAAGTGCCGTGTTGTATCACAAAAGTAGATATCCATAAAATATTCACAATACTATCAACATTATCTCTGAGAGCATGACATAACCGTTCAATATTGGTGCTTCGCTGCCGTATAACTATGATTTATTTGAAACGGCCTACTGTGAAGAAAATAATAAAGCTGGACAGGGAAAGGACTTGGTGCTAGCTTACTACAACCAATTCAAACACTCATTCAGGCAATCTGGATGGAAATTGACAACAAGAACGCGATTGATATCGATTAGCAACCATATATTGCAGCGTCTCCAACCAGGTGCACTGGGGATCTCGTGGTTCCTATTCTTGTGGGCGAGTGGCACCAATAGCATTCAAACCTTTCGAAATCTCCTTCATGCCCATCTATCAGGTCAAGGGTTGGCCACCTCTCTGTTCCACCACTCTGAATTTGGCATGAGAAACAGCACTCTTCGGCAAACGACGATTCGGCATACGCAACACATTTCCCAACCAACGCAGCTTCCGGTGCTGGACACATTCTTCAATGGGAGCACCCGTCGCACAGCCAAAAACTCGCTTTCTAATTGCATTTTTATGCATTTCCCGACACCAATCCACACGAGTTATGGTCCTGAGGCAAAGATTGTCAAACGCTTTGAGACGTCACAATGCCGCTGTTCGAACAGGCCATGTCTCGAACAGGCTCGAACAGCCATACAACAAAAAAGGCCGCTCTATAGCCTTATTCAGGGATATACCCCCTTGACGCCTTAGGTGTCTCAAAGTAGCAAGCACCTTGCTGATTTGTGCGTTGACCCCACCTGTCACTCTGCAGTCAGAATTACTACAACTTCCAAGGTATGTGAAACGCTGCATAATTTCGACTGTAAGTGGCGTGTTTGATGGCGGTATGTTCAGAAACATGACCTTAAACTTTGTGAGTGCAGAGTGCATACCAAAAGACGAAATGACTTTGTCCAGTTCATCCAAAAACACTTGCACCTTCTCCTCCTCATCGAAAATGATAACGATATCGTCAGCGTACTCCAGATCGACAAGGATTTCCTCACAAGCTATTTGAACACCAGGGTTTTGAAGACCTTCCAGCGTTCGTCTCATCATCTCATCGATTACGAAAGTAAATAGCAATGGTGAAAGCGGACACCTCAGACGGACATTGCATTTTGTGTAAAAACTTTTAGAGAGCTCTCCATATACTGTCACACGTCCGGAAGTTGGGGAATACAAAGAACGCATTATGTTCATTAATTTCTGGGGCATCAAGTTATGGAGAACAGACCGGACAACCGAGTCGAATGCGCCTTGGTAATCCAGGAATACTAAACTTGTGAGTCATTTGTACGTAAGGCATTGTTCTAGTACCTGACGGAGTGATAAGACTGGGTCAACGCGACCCCTACCAGGTCTCAAGCCCGCTTGCTTCTCCCGAGTGAGTGTCTCACAAGCCATCATAAGTAGACGAACATAAGTGACGCCATCAGTCTTGTTGCAACCGAGGTCAAGCTAAGCACACTCACTACAAGCCCCTTCTTTAAATGGGCACTATCGCCGACTCCCCCATCTGTCCGTGACAGTCTCCTTTTTCCCAAAACAGGCAAAAAGATCAGACGAGCGCTGACTGAGGATTTCACCCAGTCTTTGAACAGTGCGGGTGGGAGATCATCCGGACCAGAAGCTCGGTGGCGCTTGAGAGAACATATGCGTTCATAAAACTCCGAGGCTGTAAGGGGTTGCAAGTTCACTGTTCAGGGTTCTCCGTCAACTGTAGGCTTCAGATAAGTGGCAGCTGATGGCCACGATAACTTTTTTTCGAAGCATTAGCCCACCGGTCAAGGCGTTCATTATTGAGGATGATCACTCCCTTATGATCCTTGATGCTTTCGCTCACAGGCGATTTCCGGGGACCGGTCGGCGGATCAACTGGAATAATCTTCGGGTATTACCCGCTTTCTGAACATTTTCCATTTCCTTAGCTTTCTGTGTCGGTTCGCACGCTCTCCTTTACTTGACGTTTACAAATTCGTCGCGTCAATTTATGTTCGGGGCCGGGTAGATTATTTCTCCGAGATTAAAGCAGTGCTACTGTTCGGTCTGATATCCAGTGCTTGAGTGAGCTTGGTAGCGCTGTGCCCCAAGCAAAACTCCCAACACTGTGCAAAGAGGTGGCAATCTCGTCCCAGTATGAATTCACATCTGATGGTAGGATAGTTAGAAGAGAATCTAAGGGCGATTCTGGTGAGGTTATCTAATATCCAGATCTTCCACTTGCCAGGTGATTTTTCAACATCTTACGCGTTCCTGTAAATCGAAGGGAGAAGCGACTCCGGACGACTGGGTGGTCGGAATCCACAAATATGTTCCGAACTGACTGGTAGTCAGTTACTGATCTACGCTATCGGTAGCTAATGGCAGCGTGATCGATTTGAGATTGTGGGCGGTATGCCGTTAGAGGACACCATGTGTCCAGCTGACTTCGGCCATTTTGGAAGTTAGTAATGCATAAAAACAGCCAGTGATCAGCACACATCTGAAGTAATCGGTTACCATTGTCCTCACGTACCGAGTCCAATCCATGTCGACCTCCTAATTGAGTCTCAGATTCGCTAAGCCTACCCACTTATGTATTCATATTTCCGGCAACCATAACGATATCTGAGCTTTTAGCTCGCCGCGATAGGGCATTCAGGACGTCATAAAACCTGTCTTGATGGCGTCGGACCTAGTCAATTGGGGCTTAATAGGCCACGACAAACACACATCGACCAACTTTCCCTTGATGATACACGTTCACAGACGTTTCCAGACGAACCGCGCATAGGAAACTATTAGCGGCTATCCAATCAACCAAGGATCCTTTCGCCGCAGGAACCTCTGGATCACCAGAGTTGCGCGGCCAGAAGCGAGTGAAGAGTGATGGGGCGGGTGGCTGAACCACTGTGCTAGCATCTTTAATTATTGTTTCTGAGACAAGGCACATATCGTTTTTAAGCGAGTCCAGTATGAGAGCAGGAGCAGCGTGTTGACATGCTTGCTTCAGAGTGCGGAAATTGAAGGTCGCCAGATAGACTAGTTGTCGAGACTTTATTATTGATTTCGAGATGCCTGAGGATGTCGGCGCCATGTGACGAGCAGATGCTGCTGGCAAAACAGTTGTAGGACGAACCAAGTCATCAGTACCAAGCGCTGGGTCTACAAGAAGAGAGTTATTAATGGAGTAGGAGAGAGGCGGGAGAAAAATTATGTGAAAGAGGAGGTGATGCGTCACCAGTGGCTTCTTTTCGCTTGCCCGCCCCGCTGTATGCAGCAAGTAAGGCAGCCCGGCTGATGGTACCACGCGACTGCCGATGTGGCATGAGTTCATTTGTATGTATGCAGTTCATCGTTGTACGTGGGCTTGGATAATTCCAGGGCGCCCACACCTAGGCAGAAGGACGATTAGGGTCCTCAACCATAGCCTTCGGCTTAAAAGCCTAACCGCAAGACAGCTGTATTTGACGGGAAATGCAAATGCATTGCCATTTCTACGGGACAAGTAGCCACATGTTCCAACTCAAGACGCGGAGGGCCAGGAGATTGTTTTTCAGACCTCTAAACACTGACCAACCTGGTATAAGAGACTCTGCGATTGTTGCGTGAACACTCCCAGTATAGCTCCGAGTAACACAAACCGTCACAACATGATGGGGTCGTCTCTTCGTGAGTGAAAATATTCACTTGAATTTATGCTTCAGCCAAGATACCCACATCATGTGTTTAGGTGTTAACTAGCTTCTCAAGTAACAGGTTCTCAGAGTGAAGATTCACCTATCGTGTCGATTACTCTTCCTCCTCATCTACCTAGTGTTTGTTGGTAATGTGATTTCTGGCCATCCATTGCTTCCATGAATACCATTAGCCTAACAAACATGATGCTATTATTATGTCACAGCTGCTAATTGGGTCATATGACTCGAGTTTTACAAACAACTTGGAACGTCCGCTTTACACTGGCAACGGTAGTGGATATGGCCTGATCCGGGGATTCCACACGCTTTGAGGGTCAAGCGACTGAAATCAACAGGCAAACGTGACAATTATTAACATCCCTCGTAAACGAAGAATAAGCATCTCCTTGTATCACTGTAGCTCTGGACTCCCCTTCTTGTAATGCCGTTTGCGCTACTCTATTACACCCTACCCTATAATTGCGAATATACCCCTGGCTTGAGTTAAGTGACAACTGGACTTCACGTTATCCTTTTTTCTAACATTTAACTCCATTGTTTGTAAGCGATAAAGGTACACAGGTTTGGTGGTTCACGGACTACGGGAATATTACATGTGTTGACAAGGTGCACACAAGGACTCGGATGTTTGAAAAATAGTTTGAAATGACCGAAGAGGGTATTTGCAGAAACGATCTTTTCCCCTTATTTTCACATTAGGTTTTGTGGTTCAAAGCAGACGTATCGATTTTTCACTACATCACAGAATTGGAGACATGTTGTTGCCGGACCATTTACGTCCGGTCCTGCATCAACCGAAATTCCCTGGCTTAATCCAAGGAAAGATCATGAGATTCAAATGGCTGGTAATTTCCAAAAAAAGATGAAACTGTGTATCTTGCCTCTATACATCGATTCAGTTCATCTGAAAGATGAAATCTCCGCGGAGTAGTAATCTGAATCATTCATTTATATTTTTATAAGAAATCCAGCTAGTCAGTTACGTGTGAATGCTCTCCTCGCTCATAGCAACGTTACCCAAAAATGTGATCTGTGTAAGACGAACTCATTGCCGAGTTCACCATCCGAGTAAGTTTCCCTCGATACTGCTTACTCTAATCAAATTGAAAATTGTGAACGCTAATGAGCTCTCGCCATACGCCATACAAAAACGGATTCAAAGTGTGTACACAGTAATGTTGGTGTGTATACACTGTCATAAAACCTGTTTCCAGAATTATGTGAATTATGTGTGAATTGTTTGTGAATTATATTAGAAGTGACTTCATGCGAAACGTTCTAGAGTCTCATTTCAGTTTGTGGGTAAATCGGTTTTTGAATTCTTCAGAACAAAACTTCTCTTTCAGGCTTAAAGTCCAACACATTAAAAATATAGGAGAAAAATGCAAAATCTGGGCATCCTCATCCGGAAAATCGTACAGAACGACTCGCCAGGCTCATGGATTCTCTAACCACAGCCTCACTCGCTCACACTCCCACAGCCTCCCAGGATGATAACGACAGCGCGAATGTCAGTGAGAGAGATAGTCTGTTCGGTACAACCACAATAACACTTGTAATAATATGGCTCCCAGACCTAAAAGACTGGTGCATCGGAATGGTGAAATCAGTGTTTCACGTGAAAAACATGACAGAACAATAAACGCTGCACGTAAATGCAATGAACAAGAATGTGCCCTCGAGACACACGGGGGTGTACCTTAAGGACAAGGTGACGGTGGAACACAGGAGCCATCACACGCATTCCATATGTTCTTTATAAACGAGAAACAGTTAGGTGCACGTTTTTCGTCCTGGAGAAACTAGCATTCTGGCGACCTCCTCCCTCGACTGAGAAAATGAAACTGGAATCAGTATCTAGTCCAGTAAGATTTCTGAAAAAATCCCAACCTCTACTCCGGCATCCATTTAGAATAAAAGATGAAAGTTCTCTGGGGATAAAGGCCTTTCGTGGAATAATTATGAGAGACCCAAACAAATAATCAAGAAATCAGGAAGGTAGCAGAAGGTACGTTTGCAGGCAGTGGGTTTCAGAATGCTGCATAAAGGAGGCAGAATGAGATTATGACTTAATCTGTTTATGATCCTCGATTATGGCAGTGGCATTAATTAGTGATACTGAGGAGCATGAACAGTTTGAGAGATAACGTTGGTGAGATAGAGACAGATTCTGATAGAACGGTCAGAACTAGATATTGCATCCTGTACCGAGACTCGACTTTCATGAGAGGTGCTTACCCAAATATCGTCTGTTCGAGAGCCACCTTATTCAACAAAAAAGCAGGTAGCAAAGTGGAAGTCTACTGCACACTAACTCCAAACTTCTATCCCCTTGAATTCTGTCGGTTCGAAAGATGATGTTCTGTAGAAGAGTTTCCGCAGTCGTCTCGGACATCGATATGTGTTTGCTACTTGCAGTCATTCGCCATGTTTAAATTGCGAAATGACCAAAATTGTGGTTTAATGTCTCACTCACTGACATTTCGACTACAACTCAGCGATTACCCCTGTGATGTTGGAGAAGAACTGAGTAGCAAAGGTTATATAGTTTTCGCCACGTCCATGCAGTTGACCCATGTCAACAGTCAGCCAAAAAAGGTTCGGTGGAGCTCAAAAACAAAAGGTACGCAGATTAAACAGTTCGACAATTGGTCATGAAGGCAGGCATCCTATCATGATATGCACTGGCACGTAAAGTAAAAATCCACAACCTCCAAATTTAAAATATTTAATCATTTATGCCCGGCATAAAAGAGGACCAAAAACACAAGACCAAGGGCTCACCAGGCTAACGCGAACTGTCACAACATATCTTAGGTGAGAGATGAATTTGGTCGAGTTCGACTATTTCCGAGCTGGAAAGCATATGTTTATGCTCTGAATTGAAATACCACCGAATGATACTAAGGACTCTACGAAATAGCCCGCACCCAGCGAGTGTTCAGCTGTTGTGCCGATTTGACAGTTCCACTGTGGATTCGTACTCCATGATGTCTGTCCTTCAGCCTATATATCTGAACCTGCATTGACCGATAAATTGTTTGACAAAGCGTTTGAAGGTACTAGATTCTTCCTGGTGGTTTTTTTCTTCTCAACGGATAACAACTTAGCATTACTGTACATTTGCTTAGACACCAAATTCACCCAGCGTGTAACTAAAGAGTCTACGTTATCACCCTTGATTAACGTTTAATTCGTAGAATCAAAATTGGTCCTGATAAACTTCTCTCCAACAGTTGTCAGCCGAAGTGAAAGGACTATGGTATACCTACATTCGGGGAATACCAAGATAAACTAACACAGTCTGACTCGAGTGCGGCCAACAATTTTCCACGTCAATTCTCAGACTTGTGTGCGACCTACGTCTGTTTATTATCAGTATTTCTGAGTCCGTCTCACACACAGAGCTGGACAGTGTAAACGTTGTCACTGAGAAAACCATTGGAAAGCTGGTCAGACTCGCCTTCGGACATGATGTAACCATCCGCATCTTCGAGACATTGGAGCCGTTATAGCTTAACCGATTTCTGCCTAATTCTTTGATTAACAGCTGACGGTCAACCTCCGAGAGAAGGGAAGGCCAGCTTTGATCAGTCGAGTGTTCAAGAATTGCAAAAACCAATAGCTCTTGGTTTCCGTGGAGTCACTTTGATGTGCAATATCACAAGCCCATCTTCACTTTAACCATGAATGTCACAGTAATTTCGAGCTAGGAAGTAGGAGCTACCCACTGTAAATACCACCAACGGATTTCATCGCCGTACAGCGGTGGTAAATATAAAAATGTAGAAAAATACGAACCGCTCATCTTAACAGCCTCACGAGTTGTGGGTTTGTTAACGTGCCAGTTAGTTCACCAGCCGAGGCGAATGTATTCCAGCCACCTGTCACTCCCTCTGGTTCTTGAATAACAGGTTGGCTAAAATCTATGCTTGCCAAGGACACCGATATATATGAACTTCACGGAGGTCAGATTTCACCTACAGTGTTATAGTACTGGTCTCGTCAATCACTTTCTCCCAAAACCATCTGCCGCTCATCGGTGACGATAAAGTCAAAGATGAACTTTGTACGGCTGGTTCACAGTGAATAGCTTTAGGCGGCGGTATTTGAGGCACAAATAAAAGTGTCTGCCATAGTTCGCGTTTTTTTTGTATGGCCTTGCACCTACTAGTGACAGTAATTCATATGGGCCTTTGAAAGCTGGACAGCTTGAGGCGCGGTGCGCACACAATCAAAAATCGCGATTGTGTGGGGAATGGCGGTGAGAAACCCAGTTCCAGTAAAGATCGTCAAGGCGAGATCTTGAAGTCTGTTCCAATTCGATTAGAGATAAGTGAAACTCCAGTTTTATGCAGGCTCAAGTTTAAAAAACCTCGGCGCGTTGGTGGTACAACCAAGGAAATATCTATGCATATTGTTTTGCTGACGTAATCGTGAATGGTATTTGTTTTAGGTGTAATATACCACCGATAAGGTTATTGAAAATTCGTTGACAGCCTACGATGGGGTTGGCCCTTTTTCACCAGGTAAGCAGTCTCCGAGTTCTACTTGAACCCATATTGCACGAAATCAACGAAATATACTCATTTGCAAACAACCTTGGTTTGCGAGGAACTCTCCTGGGACCCAAGTGAATCTCTCGTTTATGATGTTACAAAGCAACTGAATGTGCTATATCAAGCCACCTCATATTTCAGTGGACTGTCGAAGAATTTTCAGCGACCTTATGAGTAGTGTATTGCGTCTATACAGGCATCGCGATATCCCGAACATCGTACCAAATGAAACAGGAGGCGGCCCAGTGCAGTACATTCAGTTGCTTAAATCATCATAAACGACCGATTCAGATGGGTTCCAGTTGAGCATCCCGTCAAAAACAAATTTGTTCGCAAATGAGTGTATTTCGGTATTTGTTTTAATTTTCTGCTGAATTTATCAATCTTCCAATAGTTCATGTTAAGTAGTTGCAGCATTCCTCCGCTAGTCTCCGAAAAACCCACGACTCAAACCAAAAGGATCTTAGAGTGTCCGAAAAAAAAAATTTAATTAAAAATTAATTTAATTTTTTAAAAATAAGTCCATATGAGATGTGCAGTCTTCCTATGCCAACGCTTGTACACGCTTTTTGGCACCTCAGGTGGACATCGAATTAATTTAAGAGTTTTATCGAAGCGCGTCATGAGGAATTCCAGAATTTCTTGACACTAGATTAGGTACAATCGATCTGCAAAACGTCAGTGGATTTGCTCATTAATCGAAAGTTCATATTATTAATACCAATAGAAAATGGTGACCTTTCCGATTGGGCTAATATACGCAGACATGTTGAAACAGATGAGTGTATTGGGACGGCCAACTCTTTGACTAAATGACTGGTCCACCATAGAGTTAAAGTTTAAAAAGGGCGAATTCTCAGTTTTAAAGGAAATCGCTTCTCAATGTAGAGACTAATTCCCATCTGAACAGGCAGTCTTCGCCTTGTGTGGTTGTTCTTTACAAAAACAACAATGTGCGGTTTGTGCCGCTAAATGGGCTATCTCCGCTAATTAGATCTTCACGGTTCTGTATGTCTGGTGGGATTGGGATTTAACCTAAATTTGCAGTTCATCCGACACATGAGGAAGTTAGACCATTCCAACATACCGTTGGGCGCAAGCCAAAAACCCGTGGTAACACGCAGACAACGGTGTTTTGTCAAGCTCCCGTTCAAAACGATCAATATAAAGCTGCTTAACCTGATCAGATGAAACCGGGTTTTATAGGAAACTAATGTTCTGGAGAAAACAATACTACATACCGAGGACGTATGACGTGCACAGGAGTTGCTCTGTCGCTTTTACCAACAGAAATTTTCGACGAACTGGCCTTTGAACGGCGAAGTTTCGGCCAGTAACCTAGCTTTGCTAATGCACTACCAGTAGAGGTTTTCCAATATTGCACTTCCATAATGGTGAAACACGGTCCTACCTACCCATACAATTGATACGGATATGGTTAGAGTAGCGTTTGCATTCCTGGTAGTAAACCGAGATTCCAAACGTGTTCCTGTGGGCTGGCGCCAAACGGCGTGTTGTTAAGTGCTCGATCTGAATGATCTCACANGTTCCTGTGGGCTGGCGCCAAACGGCGTGTTGTTAAGTGCTCGATCTGAAATTGCTGATCTCACACCTCAAATTTCAAGGCATTCCTGCTGCGTCACAGAAACGTACTTAATTCTACAAATCGAAAGAATGCTTCTTATTTATGCTAACGAAAGTGTGCATGGTCACCTCATTGTGATATGTCTCCACGAATAACGTTTAAATACAACAGCTCTGTGGTGAGATGTCCTGCCTACGTTGTAGCTGTTATGAGTACACGTGTCCTTTGAACTAAACAGGGGCTGATTGATACGACAATTAAAGCAACAATAAACCTAAATGGCGGTGAGTCACATGGAGTCGTTCGGCAAAATTCACAAGATGGATGCATGACACTACATGACACAGCGAAGTGATAATTAAAATATCAGCCGCCGAAAACGTATAAGTCATATAGATGAATTATCTAGGATGCGACGAAATGACTCAAGTAATTAGAGCAAGAATTTGGTAACCAGAAGGTCCATGGTTTGAACCCGACCTCTGCTATTCGACTTCCCCTGTCTAGGCTTGGGCAACCTGGCAGTATCCCAGCCCTCGTGCTTCCTTCGGGTGGCATGGCAGCTAAATGCCGGAAGGGTGCTACAGCTGAACAATCTTTTATCTAAGCTACAAATGGTAGTTAAAGTTATTGCAAACGGAAGACGACCGTGTTTACAGATGACGCAGGTAATCGCAATCTGGTGTAACGGTGGATACTACGGATGAGGCATGCGAGTAGCATGTGGTTTCTCTTGACTCCGCTTTGATATAACGGAAGATGGGAGTTATTACGGAATTTGTGGAATTGGTTTGTAGCATTCGTTTGAATTTGCGTGACAGTCAATGAGTATCCAGGAAAGTTCAGGAAGACGCGTTCAAAAAGCAAGATACGTAAAAGTTTTGCTTTGCTGTCCAACACCAACTGTTCAGTTGGTGTTCTCTGATGAACAACTCCGCAGAGAAGGGCTACTTCCGGTGAACAACTTCGCATGGTTGAGTTTAGACCATCCTGGTTCCACTGTCCACTTGAATAACTACGAGTTACCAACCAACTGCCGGCCTGAGAAGTCGTACACTTCGCAAATAAAGGTATAGGTGAAATGAAATAGCTTCAATTAGCAGTAATAATAGTAAACCGACAATGAATACAAATGACTCATGACTGTATTGCACATACATTCAGATGCACACATTTGAGTGAGAGATGAACAGTACTAGGAAATATGTATGGAATAATCGGTTGAATTAGCGATCAGTTACAACAATGTTATTTATGAAGTGATAGGAGTGTATGCAAGTAACTACGAGCACTGGATGAGTCACTTGAAAGTTTCAGTAGTCGCACAGTCCGTAAACGGTCAAGCCGACATACGTCTTCATGTGTACGAGTTACTGGACGGTAGTGGTGTGCATAAACTTGGCTAAGGCGAACATAACAACTGTACATGTAGCACGAGGTTGGACAGCTGAACTGAACTGGATGGTGACAAATAAAACTCGCCACCAATTCCTATCCACGAATGGCCTAACTCAAGACAATGCGTAATTTGACATCAATGTGGCTGTCACTGAGGTCTTGGAGATTTTGCACTCAATTGCCATAGTTTCCAGTCGTTAAATCAGAAAACTAAAGGCTTTATCTCTTTGGTTAAAATGACGTCATAATCATCTAATCTACCGCAACTCACACTTCACCCATTCATGCCAAAGACTGTTCGCTCTAATCGTCTAAAACGATGGTTTGCTAAATTCCCGACGTTATTCGTCTCTTTCATTCATTCGGGAAAGATCATATCTCCCATCGCACTTTGGTGATGCAATCAAATTGCTCCAAATGGTATAAAACCATTAATAAATGATAGATTAAAAAATAGGCTGTTTTCATTAGTTTAATAATGCTTAGAGAATGTAATCCAGAAATAGACCGTAACAATGGCCTGGTTCTTTTGTGGAACATTTCAGTTAATGGGAAATCTGTGATAGTTCCTGGCTGGTTTAAGGAACTGTGAAACGAAACGGTATAAGGCATGCCATTTTAACTCTCTACTAGCTTCATCTCATCGCTGTAATTCATAAAGGATCTGGAATACACACCTGGAGAAGGTATTTCGGCAAAAATTGACACAGCGCGCGGTTGACCACTATTGAATCACTTTGATTGGGAGCGCATGTCACAAGCTGGAATGTTCAAATTCTCCAGGTAAGAACTACGTTGCCGAAGAACAGATGACAGTTGAACAAAATCGATAAGATACGAGAGGAATCACTTGACAGCCTGTAGTCTTAAATATATCACAATTGGTGGTTTTAGCATTTGATTCAGCCTTTGATTCCACAGGCTTTAGTCTGTTTGTTGCTAATTTCCACAATTTTGAGGTCATAGAAGCTCCCAGCATAAAGATTCTATTCACCGTTTGTTGCCAACCAGCTTCACTGGACTCAAGAAGCGCACAACATGGATTGAAGACCACATGAACTTTGCCTTTTTCCTCACACCGTTTCGAACACAACACAAAAAGACAGTTATAACAACAGAATAACCCGAGTTGGCTTATTTTCCCTCTGCTAAATAAAAGCAGTGGTATCAAATTCAATGAGACCACACGATGGCAGAACCTGTGATAAAACCATAATTGATAGAAACATGACTGTCAACCGACGAACAAACCTGTACAGCACGGCAACATCAAATTTCGCTGTATGGAAAGCCGAACCAGCAAATTGATGGATGACGCACCCTCGCCTCCAGTTATTCAAGCCTGAACAAGTCATGTGATGGTTGTAAAATGCTGTAGGTAGTTCGTTCAGCATACTTCCACAATTATCGCTGCCCTGCCCATTCTGGTACCGACCAACCCACCGTCCGTAACTTATAGATAACAGAAAACAAAGGGAACTGGTTTCATTTCCTAAGCACTCTGAATTATTGCCTTATAGACGGTATGAAAGTCAGAAATATGCAATGCATCCGTCCAATGATAGTAGTAGAAGCGCAGGTAAGAATGCTGACGTAAGCTCGCAAAATCCAAACCGCTAGCCCCCATGAAATCAGCCAAACAGATTTTCGCTGATAAGCCCAGTCAGGTTGAGCTAAGTCTTGTAGTCTTAACGCAGACATTCTGGTCACACATCTGCCATCAGTAACACGAGGCATCTTGGTGAGCAAAAACGAAAAACAAAAAAACTGAAACGATCAATGTCAAAAGTTCGAGGTACAAGGTAAATCGGACAATCAGTCAGTATTTCAGTAGTTGGCAAACTTAGGAATCTGAATCCCCAGTGCCCTATGAACCCCGAAATGCTGCGATGACGAGGACCTTCCTCCCTCCCTTGATATGTACCATAGTTCTAGTATTATCAAAAAGGCGATGAAAACAATCTAACTGAGCAATACATTACCTGCTTAAGACCCTATAACAGCAGTGCGAACATGAAGAGACGTTGAACGTTCACACTGACATGGGATTTGGACCAATGCCCAGTAGATAACTTAGCTTGATTTTTCCAGTTGGGACCTACTGTAACCTTTTCACGTCAGTCTCATGTACCTTGAAATGACTGTCCATAGGACGCACTATACTCCGCATCCACCGCAGGCTTCAGTCGAACTTGTGCGTTTCCCAGCCGCGTGACCCGACTGTGTCTGCTCTCCAGATGGAGTAATGTAGAATTGCACCATGTCGAAATATCATGTACAATTTAACCATTTTGTTATAAATATTCAGCTAGAATCCGGCTGATTATCCTGTCCAGCTGAGACTACGGGACTTAAATTCTCTAATTTTATGTCCCAGCTGGGTCTTGTTTTTTTCACCCTTACAAACCAACGACTAAAGCCTGAGAATCAGTATGCGATTGACATAGTAAAAATCCCCGTGAAGTCAGGTAAAGCTAACTTGTTAGATGATCTGTTAACGAAGGATTTTGGTAAATTAGTTCGCTTCAACCATCTGTATATCCAACCTATGTAGATTTTTACGAGTAGCGCCAAGAAATTAATCAAGTGGTGATTTTACGTGCCCACGTCTGGTCCGTTTTTAAATCATCCTTCCTCTGAGCTACTTAAAGGATGGTGGTAGTATGAGCTTATTGAATTTTCATTGAGGTCTCGTTCCGTAATCGAAGCGAGGAGGACTGTAGGGTAGTTTCATCCTTATAGGAAATCATCGGTGATGCGTATTTCACGAAAACCCAGGGATTTTGGTAATCACAACCTTCTGGTTGGTAGTCTGGACACGTGACCGTTGGGTCATGGATTGTACTGCATTGCGACTGCTTGTAGCCGTAAATCTCAACGAATAAGCCAGTGTTAAACTTCTGTTCCCGTGGATCAGGATAAACCATGGCTGAGAGAATGGTGGTTCCTCCGAGACTATGAACAAATGAAACACCACAACAAACAAATCTGTCAGTGAGGAATATAAGCTACCCTGACCCATCACATCTCACCTACATCCTCTCACATCCTAGGATGAGAAACTCTCTGATCACAGAAATGGCGAAATTATCCTCTGGAGGAAACGTCAAAATGCCAGTGTACTTTGTCATGTTTATGGATATCCAAGTCCGTCAACAAGTGGCCGACATTCCCAACACTTTCCACATTACCGAGTTAAGCCCATCGGCTTTGGTGAATGCGACTAGATCAGGTTTGTACCAAGAATTTAAGGAAGCATCCTCGAACACAGTCGACAAAGAATTGTCAAAGAATTTGAATAACCTAATAAAACAGTGCATATGAGCTGATTTTTCATCCAGTTCCCCATATTCCCCACTTTGTCGCATTGCAAGAGCACGTCTCCGAAATACTTGTCTTTCTTGGCCCTCATCTAAGCCTAGCTAGGCATGAATTGCAGTTTCGGTCCAGAGAACGGGACGCGGCGACCCGTAAACAGGAACACCTTGCTACGATCCTAATTTGTCTAAATTTCATATATATACGCTATGGTAAAAAGGAATAACTTTATTATACTTGGTTATCTGCCACTGAGAGCTTCCGAAGAAACCGGGTGCCCCAGTAACCAAATTTAGAATATAGGATGATTCATACGCCTAACTTCTATCGAGAGAATAAGCCTCCTATCGAGAAGGAATAGAGTATCCTTTGTAGGTGTTTCCTAGTGAAAAGGGGAATTTATTCGGGCTAAGGTAACAGCAATGTGTAGCGAGGTCTTTGAAAAGGACAATGAAAGCAGCCTATCCATAGATTACCTGATGATGGTGGCGTATTTATTGCAAAGCATCACGTAGAACTTATACTACTTAGGCCCCTTACTGAAAACCACGCGCATTGTTAATAGAATGTTCCTCGTCAGTGCCCTTTCTGGACGTTCCAATAGATTTCTACTACTGAGAAGTCCTAGCGTGCTTACATCGCAACGAAACTCATCGGGTACGATTGCATTATTTCATCAAAACTGGATGACGGGGAAAGGAGAGTCGAACTGGCACCAAACAAGTCACAATCCCTTGTCAGAAAGAAGGTGCCCTCCAGGAAATCGGTTGATTTAATCTCCTCAGGAATCTGCAAGCGTTTCGCGTTAGAATTTTAAATCTTCAATGGAGAGAAAATCGACCAGCTCCTGCAGTTAATGATCTGGTTTTCAAATGAGTAAATTGACACACGAGAGGGCCACCATAATAAATGTAAGCTGGTTCCATCCTTTTTTCCTAAGTAGCAACGCACAACGCCAGCATCTACCTACAAAATGTCGAAGGCTATGGGGGATCAACAAGTCATTAAAAAGATGATAAACCACACTCATCGGCGATGAAACACACTGCACACAAAGTTGCTACAACCTCATCGACAGGCAGGTTTTCCCTTTTTTGAGATGGTGAGAAGGGCACAAGAACCTAACAAACTGCCTGTGTCCGTTGGACAGAGCAGCGTCCGCAGAAAAGAAACAGGCACAATTTGTCACCCATCTTCTGGTAGTAGGAAAGGTAAGTAGAACGGATTTCTCAAGAAGCACTGGGTTGTGTCCTAGCCTCGTGGGGAGTAACCTCCCCCTAAGTGACAGAATACTCTGATTGAATAGCAAAGAAACGTGATTACAAAGTAATTAGGACAGTTCTATACTGAACTTTTCTAAACCCAAGCGATCAATCTGAGCAAAGCTAGAAATATCATACACGTCCTGTTTTCTAAAAACAATAGATCCATTGTTTAACCTCCCGACATCATTTAACATGATAACAGTGTTTTGCAGCAGATTGGATTTATGAAACGATAGATGCTAGTGACTTCAAACAAGCAGAGAGTATCTACCGAAGAGTCATTTTAAGTACACTTCTTACGCGGATCAAGTTCTCTTGAAGCACACACGCGATGGATGTGACGCGAGGTTGTTTTGCAAAGCGTAGTATTGGAACAGGCAGCCTTCGAATTAGATGAACCTACAATTGTAGTCGTATCTTGAATTCGAAGCCAAAAGCGCTGAGGGATTAGGCAGTTTTTTGTTAGCTTTGGCTCAGTAGCCCGTATCGATTTTAGACAATTAGAAAAGAATGAAGAGGGTACGGGCCAATGTGCTGCTACATACATTACATATTGCATGCACCATGGAAAATGTGCAACGGGGGGGGTCAAAAAACGAGAGCAAACTAATTTGGCTGCACAAGAGCGGTGAAATTAGGATGAATGTACACTGTGAGGATTACGCAAGACCAGTGGATGAGTAAATCGGCCGCCAATTCCGAGATCAGAAGCATATAGGGGAAAATAATCTGACAGGATCAATGAAGCAGCCATGCTTCGATAACTAACTGATCGCCGCCTTCTGCGAAGTCACAACTGAACCTACGTGTGTTCACCAAGCGGTGCTCGGTGATCTAAATCAGTAGATTAGGTCTAACATGCAGTGTACAGCCTCCCCAATTAAAAATAGTTTGGCAGCACTGTACGTCTGCTTGAGCGCCAAAGTGAAATGATGCTCGATTAGGTAACCCTTTCCACTCTGTATGACGAGGAATTGGCACAGCAACCAAATCTTCCAGCGATAGAACATAAGTTGCCTGTACCGCAAGACGTCGCAAAGAAAGTACAATTGGAAAAGATGCATTCGGACCTGAAGAATGCAAGCCAAGTAAACCTGTATAAGATGAAATGGTTTTCACCACAACTATTGCACCACTATCCACGACCAGTCAACTCATTTCCGATCGGGAAATTTCCGTTTTATACACCGTGTTCCCCGTTCGCAGTGGGCTGAACTCGGGGATTATTGCGTCGCAAAAATATCTGTGACCTATTTGCGCATCTGTTAACCGGACCCACAAGTTTTCAGTTAGGGGTAGTGTTCACCGTGTCGTTTGTACTTAACTCCCGTGATGGCTCTCGCTTCCATACGGACTTTAGAACCTTATTCTATGTATCTCACCACTCAATAATATTAGCGATCAGATCACTCCAGGCAGTGCAATCACAAAGGAGCCACAGTAACTTGGACTAACTGCTGAAATTGATTACTCAACTATGAAGTCAGCCTCAGGTGTCCTCGTGTGCTTTGTCTCAGATGATGTCCGTGATCAGCATCCGTTGCAACTGGTTCAGTCGCACGGTGGGTAAGTGAACTTACCGAATCGCAAAGTTGGTGTCCCCAGTCACCGGAAATAAATGAGATCAAATGTTCACATCCTCCGTTCAATCTGTTTTAACTGTTTTTTGTAGTTAGTGAAGCAGGATATCATTGTAGTAATGTGGAAATAACCGACAGACAGTGTCGAGATGCCGTATGACTTTACCAAGTCTGACATTTAAGGTTCAGAATTAGTGTTGTTCCGTATATGGTAATGGTCTTTGGTAAATCAGATGATAAATTCATGGGAGAACAATTCACTTCTCATAAAATTCTCAGGATCCCACATCTGAATACATTTGAGGACGTAGGCTGGAAGCCATGGGAAAATCTCACTTATCATGAATTTAGATCAAACCAGGAGTGTATGACAAGGTAAGCCATACTGACAGCTGGGAAATCATTCGGGTGCCATTGACAGCGAACTTTCGAAAATCTGCTTCAAACATCTCTCCTTCCTCTGCTTCAAACAACCATTTAACATAACCAAGTTTACTAGAAACCTTGATGCCGAGCAGGGGAGCATTTGTATAGGGTGAAAGTTTTGCTTTTCCCCCCTTGGTACCTACTTATGGTATGTGGTCATACTGTTTTTGCCTAGCATGCGACAGTTATCAGTTGCACCTTCTTTGGTGAAAAGGCGGACATTGCCTACATTCATTCAAAAGTACCAAGTATTTTTCGAGAATAGTAAACTGAAAGAGCTCAAAATCCATTCAACGCACGGGATTCCGCCAAAATCGTGCATAGATCGTGCAGCGGTTCAGGCTGCTGCATGCTCAGACTTGAAGTTTTATACTTTAAAGTTTTATACTCTAAGTAGCAACGTACGGCCTCAACGTAAAACCACGATTTCGACGCTTTCTTGAGCTCCCAGACCAAGATGAATCCATTTAAGCTGTATGTGACCTTAAACTGTACATACAGGTACTGTCAACTAAATGCTAACTAAGTAGTAATTCACATCCGATTGAAAAGCGGATTCACAAACGGATAGCAGAGCTAAATTTTAAAACTGGTTGACCGAACGAATGGACCCACCACCAAACGTACTGTGAACATACTGACATGATTTCACATGCACCCCTACCGCTTGGAAATTCAGAAGGGCATCCGTGGTTAACTACGATATAAATCATAGATAAATCAAAGCATGCGCTTCAAAGTGTACACGGGTTCCACTCGATCTTCAATTACGTGCACAAATGGTTTTGAAATCGTATGGCCCTTTTGATGAACCAAAGAGTAGAGCGGACTGTCAGGGAACGGAGATAGGATCTCTGTGCTAATGGTAAACCGTCCGTTGCACAACGCCACCAAGTCCCACGTCTCAGGGTTCAGTTTGACAGACTCACCAGGGTATATATCCAGTCCAAGCTGGCAGACAACGAGAAAGTAAACACGTGCATGAAAATCATCAGCCTGCTAAATATGAAACAGCACGCGTGATGAGTTGTTAGGGGGAAAAGTAAGTATTTTAGAATCAACAGTCTTGTTAGTGAATTCTTCAGCTTATTCCAACCCAAACAAAAGGCAATAACTGCTGAAAAGTTCTATGCACCGAAGACAAACTTTAAGCTTGAAACTTTGGTATCATACAATATTATCAGCTGAGAGCATAAACAACTAAAGAAGTCCCAAGTGTTTCACGCAAATTGTAGTTTCGTCGCCAAAGGTCACCTATTCCGATGGAACATCTCGAAACAAGTGCGGTTTTTACCGCATCCAGTTGGCCCTTGAAGACTATCAAAGTCCGGGCTACCACGATCATACTTTTCGGTTCAGGGTTTATTTCATGTCAAACTCGCGTACATTCCAAAGTGCCAACTTTCGTCAACAATAATCGAAGCGTTCGTGAGCAACAGGCTTCCCCTCAAGCTCTGTATCCGTACAGCGTAATACAAACAGATCAATTAGCGGACAGTTCGCAGGAACAAACAGTTCTGTGTCAAATGTAAAAAGAGGCTCGAAAGGAAGGGAATGAAGGTCGCTGACTGGAGGCCTCCAGTCAGCATCAAGAGCACTGACGGACAGATAATTTCTGAGGTACGTTCAAACCGAAATGAATTTTGTGTAACCATACGGAGCTAGAGATAGCTCAGTGGTTAAGGTACACATGTACTGACCTGGCAGTACCTCAGCCCTCGTGCCTCCTTCGAATGGCATGATACCCACGCACTGAAAGGGTGTTACAGCCGAACGACTCTATTCTTATAGGGAAGCAAAGATTACTTGAACTGTCAGTCTAGCGGCCGAAACTGCATACCAACCCCGGAGTGGAACTCCACGGCGCAGGGTGTTGTTCTGCAGTACTCTCAAAAAACAGGCCCGATCTTCAAGACAAAGTAGCCCATATTGATATGCACACCCCACCAGTGCACCTCCTTCATGACTATATTTCCAATTTTGGGGATAAAATATCAATCATAATTCGCATGCCGATATCCATCTCGGCTTACGAGGCCATCCTTGAGAACAAAGAGAACTGCACCGGTCATGAGGTTTTACTGTCAAGGCTTCACCTAAAAATCGGTTAACTTGTATATTTTCAGGTTGTGGTTTTGGTGACTCTGTTATCAAATTTTTGGCTGTTTGTATGGTAATGAACAATACGGTCACAGTAAGGTGTCCGCTGGGTGAAGAAATATCCTGTTAGATACAACAAGTAATGTGTCGTGGTGCAACGCAAAGCAACGACAAATCTGATCCGATACCAGGTAGAATGGAAATTAGTGATAGCAACATAATTGCAGTTAAGTCCTGGAAAAAAATCCTCTTCTTATGTAGACAAATATCGGTGCAAAGGTTAGGGGTGACGATCGGAAAAGCTGCACGATGTCACGAATATCATCGGCTCCAAAAGCTCTGCGCGATGTGACGAAGCCACCTCATCCTAACTAAAGCGATTAGCACCAGGAATCTTGCATCTCCCCAGGTGTTGCCTAGGCCTTATTTAAGCATACAACTGCAGCCTGCAAGCCACACACCAGAATGTTAAAAAAATAAGGAGGAACACTGAAGGAATGAGCAAGAAGCAGAACCCACCTGTCGGACGACAATATCACCCTTATAAACGTAATCACCATCATTAAACTGGAATCCTCTGAGAGTTTTCACCTGGACCGAGGGGCGTATTTTCGCGGGTTGATCACTGTGATTTTTCTTTTTCTTTACGCCAGCGTTCCGAGTAGGTTGAACAAACGAGGCTAGACGACGTTAAAATAAAAAGCCCGTTTTACCTGAAAGAACTGGTCGTAGTAGACCGGTTGCTTTAGAGGAAAAATTGGCCATTGGAACGCGTTCGATGTCGATTTAACTAAATTTTCATGGGACCTTTGTAACTGGATGAGCAGCTGAAAGTATATACCATATTACTTCGTTCGTATTTTCAGAGAAGTAACCCACAGAACATGCCATAGGTTTTGGAAATAAGCGAATACGAGGAGGGTATACAATGGCCGCCCCAAAAACAAGCAATACCTTCACTGCACCACTTTCACTGCACCACTGGGGTACCGCACACCGAATGAGACTTCACCTATGCATCCTCAGTTCGACCTGCCGTAACATTTGCTACGCTTAGACCGGAAGAGTGGATAGTGTTTTCAGCAACTCCTGATAGCTTTTCAAAACTCGCCACTGAAAAATATCTCAAGTCTGTCTTAGAAAACCGGGTTTCCGACATCCCTCTATTATTAGCTAGTGGAACATCTTGTTTGCAGTTCAACTCGCAAATAGAAAATACTACAACATTAATAACGATCCCACATAACAATAAAGCGGCCCCTGCACTGGACACTCGTTTGGAAAAAACCACGTGCGAGAGGTTCAGTCGAATTTGAGCCGAGCTTTATTCGGAGCTAGTGACTGAAGATTTTTCAGGCACGTTGCACAAGGCGGGTTAAGAATATTCTTTCTACCCGTTAAAGCGATGTGGCGAAGACATAAACAACAATGTATTCTACTAACTGGCACTGCGATAGATGAACGTCCCCGTCCAATCACACGTAAAGAATACAGTTTTGATCAACAGAGGTAACATCAAAAGTTCACACTCAGATCAAACATGCAGCAGGCCAGTGATCTGAGGGCCAAAATGATCGTTTAAAAGCCGGTAATACAGGTGATGGGTGACGGATGCACTGCCGACACACGGCTCGGCTATCCTACCCAGCCAAGCAGTGACCAAGATGGTCACGTCAATGAACGTACGGATTACGCGAACCAGGCTTTTAGATCACTATCCATCCGCCTTAAATGGAGGGATGACATTACACTCCAGTCATACATTCATTCAAAGTCAAATCACATTGAGCAGCTTTGCATGCACCCAGGAGGTGAATTTCCAATGGCCCAAAACAAGGAATTTAACACAAAACTGAGATGCGACAAAATAAAAATAGATAAACCCATGGATTGTTTTTAGTTAATTTGAGGAGATCATTATAAAATGCATATATAACGGGTTTGTCTATCTGATTCTGCAGCTTAGGTCAACGTACACGATCAATCAACCACCTCCCCACCTAACAGGCTTCCGGTTAGCTCCGCTGGCTACCTGATGTTTTGATTGAATACTCATGGGTGAAACGCGGCAACCTCATAGTTAATTGTGATCTAGGTGAACTCGACTAATTAGCTGGGTAAAAGCCCACTGTGAAATGGTAATGTAAGCGGAAACGCAGAGAGAGAGAGAGGTGCGAGCATGAAGACAGGTCGGTAAAGACTTATTCAGGATCTTCTTCTACTGATAATCCTCCACGCGCTAGTTTTTGTCTTCTGAGGTTAAATCAGTCAACTACATCTGTAATTTCGACATCAGACGCCAAAGGTGTATCTGTATGTGAAAGTTAGCGTTAGCCTCGTACCATCCCTGATATTGTTAGCGTGGAAGAGAGAACTTCATCAGTATTTCTTCCAAAATGCTCGTGCCTTTTCCACGTGGACCGTAGTCTCAAAGCATTTTAACTCTTCCTCCGTTCCAGTCATTTTAGAGTAGGATTGACTTCAGCACTAAGTGTTCCTGTTTTCCAGCTTCTTAACGATATTATTGCATACGACAAACGAGCGATTCAGTCGGGAATCAGCTGAGCCTACCATTGAAACCAAATTACTTTGCAAATGAGTGCAGTTCGCGAACGGCGTACAAGTTGGGTCCAATTAGAACAAACGGTCGACGGAAACTGGGTGGCTACACCTGACGAGCCCCAAGAAAGAAGAAATTGGCCATGGGCCGTTGAAGGGATTTTAGAGACCATATAAGTGTTGTGTTCCATCACGCTTGGATTCCGTTGGGTACTTTTGGACCAGTTACGGATTCAATCGAAAAATGCATCCGATACCAAAAGCTGCAGTGATTTAGTCACGTAATACGCATGCCAAATCATCGTATGCCGAAAAGTGCTCTTCTCCGTTCCCAAATTAGAATGGCGCAAGCAGAGTTGGACAACCTTTGACCGAGCAAAGAGATATGAGGGAGATTACGAGAAGTCTTGGTGTTGTCGGTGAGACGAACCTTCCGGAATGGAGTCTACGTGATTCTTATCGCGGGTTCCTTGCTGTTGGAAAAGGATCCCGTCTTCACAGTGCCACTGTCGTGTACCTGAACTTTTTATTTCTGACCCTGAGATGGGGCTGTGTCATATCATACAGTTGGAGTAAATAATAAGCAAGACACTCGTTCAGCCGTAATACACTTTCGGTGCATAGCTATCACGCCACTAGAAAGACTGAGGTACTGTCAATACAGGGGCCAGCGTAGATGTAAGCAGTTCGAGAGGCCGGACCTTCTGCTAAAGACGACAGTGTCACACTAAAACAAGCAACTGAGTGGAAGCGTCCTGGAAAGTCCTCTGCAATTATTGGTCATGAGAATTAGTAAACCATTGTTATTGTGCAGCGTTGAATCGGTGGCGAAATTGTAACGATGGTCCAACTTAGTCAGTTCTTTTCCTCTGGTTGATATAGTTACCTATCACCCTTCAGCAAGAGGTTTTCGCTGTGACTCGCTGGTTCCCCGAAGACATTTTAGCTGGAAGATGGTAAGCTCCTGCGCACCCGCTAAATTGCCAAGCCTAGACAGGGGGATTTTAGAGCCAGAGGTGGGGTTCGAACCAAACACTGCACATAATGGGCGATGGTTCACTTTGCCACCATTATCTTCACCAATGGTCTGGAAGATAAGAGTGGATATCCACGTGGTAAAAACCACAAATCCAAGTCCAGACCCAAAGATAATCCGGGACAGTTTACGCCACCTCTGGTGAACAGTCCCGTTGAATATTTGCAATAATTCGTTGGAAAGATTAGTTTCGATCGTGTTCATATTGGGCACTCATTATCTTCTCACGATAGTTGAGCCTAGGAACAATACGCCATCACACTACACCCCATATATTATAGTAAACCTGATATAATTGTAAGCTCATGATGATAAGAATTCAGACGACCAAAATAAACGTGCACTATCACACCGTGGAACAGAGGGGATCACCACAGTTGCCAAGGTTGCTGGGCTGCCACAAATCGGCTCATCTCCGTTGGGCATCTTACCTCGCTTGCTGACTGGGACGTGCCAGATTAAGTCTAGAAAGCAACTCGTCTAATTGCTTTTCTGAAGTTGTCGCGGGATGCAGCCTCAGCGACGTCCTTGTGGAGGTTGTTTTATGGGCTCATCATGTGGAGTGTAAAGAACCTCCACAATACCCAAGCTTTACCACATTTCCAAAGTATTTTGGGGTGTCCCCTCAGTTCTTTCCCGTCCTTCCACTCTACCAATTCATCCACGGGTGTCTCTGAAAGAGCTAGATGAGACCCTATTTCAATGTATAACTTTTTTTTAGGCTACACCGACCCAAAACGTTGATTTCCTTTTATTAGGTAACCTACGGAGTTGCGGCATCCATCTGGTTCCGTTGTACCCCTCCAAATATAGCACAGTGGTTAAGGCGCAAAGTTAGTGACCGGATGGTCCTGCATCTCCACTGCTTCTGTCTAGGCTTGGGCAACTTGACAGTACCTCTGCATCCGTGCTTCGTTCGGGCGACATAAAAAAAACTGTTCCGCTGTAGCACTCTTTCGGTGCCTAGCTGCCATGCCACCAAAAGGAGTCACAAGGGTTGGGATACTGTCAGGTCGCCCAAGCCTAGACAGGGAAAGTCGAGTGGCAGGGGTCGGGTTCAAACCACGTCGATTCGCGCTCTAACCACTTGGTCCATCTTGAGATGTGGCTAGATAAAACGGCAGTACAAAGCAGCCCGTGTTTCACGCTCTGGAACCGCTCCCTTTAATACGAAAAGTGTCCCTATAGTTTTGTAGGCTGTTGTTGCATGGTGTGGGAACAAGATTTTTAACAGTTTTCGCCTTGGTGACTTTGAAACCGCCTACCACGGTCTCCAGGCCTATCAAAATAGGAAATTTTAATGTAATAAGTGGGAAATCCTACGCTTTTAGCTCGCTGAGCCAACTTAATCAGACCGTTCGTGGCTGACTACTTTGATTTGTGGGACTGGCAAGCCTGTATTGGTGTGCAGGGTCTGCTTGCTGTTCCTTATGAACAGGGATCACGATAGCCTTCCTTCAGGTAGTCAGCTCTCCCAAAGTGGGGTTAGAGCTTAGCTAATGTCAACACCAGTGTATCCTGCTACCCTGAGCATCGCTAAGAGCGTGGGAGATTCCCACATTCTCTGTACAGTCACCATTCAAAGGCTTTAAAAATATTCGTATAAACTTTTGGATTGGACGAGACTGAAACAATAGTATCCAAACTGATCTTCTAAGTGTTCAGCAAATCCTCCAATTACATATTTGTGCGAATGAACACGTGAGTGATTTTTCCATTCGTTTATATGGTTGCCTTTCCTTGGTTGTTCGATGGAATTAGGTGATACAGGGCATGTCTGCTTCCAGTGTTGAAGGAGTCCACACGCGCGGTCACACTAAAGCATCAATCAAAATTACTGTGGTCGGTGATAGTTGGTGATCATTTGATGGTATCGGGGAAGTCGGACAAATGGCCCTGAGCGTCACAAACACACCTTGCTTTACATCTCGCCGGGCCTCATCCACATTTTCATTACCACCATTAGGTTGGTTCACTGCAGAGCTACCTGGGCTATCTGATCCACAGCGGATAGTCAGGTGTCTTTTGAAAAGCACCAGACCATTTTGTTTTAAGGGTAATTCACCCTTGTTCGAAAGCACCAGTAGGCGCGGTCAACCGTTGGGCGATCGGAGTGTGCCGCCAACCTTCTCAACCGCGCCCTTCCTCTTGGGATGGCAGTATCACTGCTCCCATGAATATGGATATGTTGAGCGCCTGTCTTCACACTCCTATCCCAAAGAACAGTACGACTTTACCGCCCCCCCAGACCGCCTCGTAGCACGATTACTCGTAGTACGGGGTCTCGCTGTTGTTGGTCTGAATCCTCCCCTTTGACCTTCATGGCATGGTTGCACCTTGTGAAACGAAGCTCCAGCCACTGCCCGAGGGATCATTGCAGCACTCAAGTCAGGTCACACGTGTTTCAGCTCGGAGTGTGCCGCCAACCTTCTCAACCGCGCCCTTCCTCTTGGGATGGCAGTATCACTGCTCCCATGAATATGGATATGTTGAGCGCCTGTCTTCACACTCCTATCCCAAAGAACAGTACGACTTTACCGCCCCCCCCAGACCGCCTCGTAGCACGATTACTCGTAGTACGGGGTCTCGCTGTTGTTGGTCTGAATCCTCCCCTTTGACCTTCATGGCATGGTTGCACCTTGTGAAACGAAGCTCCAGCCACTGCCCGAGGGATCATTGCAGCACTCAAGTCAGGTCACACGCCACTGTTTCAGCTTTAGGTCGGTTATTCAAGCTGCTAAAGCTTTGTCCGCCGAAGATAAGGAGAATAACGAAGTTAGAACCACATGTTGGAGACGATGGCCCAATCAATTCATTGGTCAGTCACATTGAGACCAGGAGGAAAGCTATGCGTTGGATGCAACAGCTTGGATGCAGGAGCGACACTGAGGACACAACTCGGTCATGCCAGACTGTGTCTTTAACCTTTGATGTATCTCGTCTTGAGGTCCTCATCCAGGGAGACGGCAATGAGCATCACAGCTGAGTTTTCTGGAATTGATTTCATGCTTCGCTGTTAAATCATTGTTTGACCTCCCCTGGCTCGCTTCTACCCTTCAAGTGGTTGCACGAAAAGGGATTTTCGAGAAGGTCGGTTAAGTGACATACGAATCACGTGAAAAAGCCGGTGCAACCTATGGAGTGTGATCAGTTCATCTACCGTGGGCGTTATTTCTTCCGAAAACCATTCGTACTTCAGTTTTACTAATCTGGAGTTACCACCAGATTCGGCCAATGCTCCGATGACATGCTTTGGAGGCACCTACGGTCAAACACAGAAAGCCCTCGAAGGTCACGTCTCTGATCCATAAAGTATATCAGATCTGACAGTCTTATTGTACATTCTACCACTGACAGTCAAGCTGATGTCATATCGGTATCACAAATGTCGGAGATTGAAACAACTGTTTTGACCTTCCCAATTCGGAAAGTGATTTCGTCTTACGCCAGACCTTCTGGACTAATGCAGCTGTCCGGATAAATGAACTTATATCCTACCCATTCCAGTTCAACCGAAAGCATGAGGGTTTGATTTGACCTTACCCAATCTTTCAATAGCTCTTTACACTTTAAAGGTGCGAACAACCTACTGAGGCGTGCAGTAAAAATATTTAGGTTATTTAAAACTTTGGATTACTAAGGGGTTCGATCCAAGAAGAGCAAAATCGTCGGCGTACTCAATGTGCGTGAGCGAACGCATTGAGAGTATCTCGATCCCCGAAGTGCTAGAGAGGTGGGTAAAGCAGCATCTCCATTAAGCAAAGGAGAGGCGATGAAGGACATTCTTGCCTCACACCAGTGAATGTAGTGAACACAGGACAACATCTGTCACAGACATGTATGAGCGCACAAGAGGAGGCATATTATTAGAGACAATGATTTATACGGGAAAACCCCCTTGTCGCTGGACACCGTCAGTTTCTGACGATCAACGGAGTCCAAGAAATACGACCAAACTGGGACGACTGAAAGAGTGGCGATGTTCAAGAACTTGTCTCAAGGTAAAGACATGGTCGACACATCCTCTGCAAAAATGAAACCCAGCTTGGTTGTTAATAATGTCTCTTTCGATATTCGATCAACCTGCGCAAAACAATGCCAGAGGGTACTCTAAATGAGATGGATGTCATGCTGATATCACGGTTATTTTCGCATGACGATCTTGTGCTTTTTTTGAAGACTAAGACCACAGTCGAGAAGCTCTATTACACTGGTGTTCTGTTTTTGTTCCAAATTTTCCCAAATAGGGTCGTCAGACCGTTCACCAGGACCTCACAATCCTCTTTGAAGAGTGTGGCGTGCAGACCATCCGGACCAAGTACCTCATCGAGTTCCAGCATTAGTATCTGACGCTGGATTTCTGTTGTTGATGCCGGTTCCCAGAACTGCAGTGACTTTTCACTTAATAAGCATGTCTCGTTGGTTGTACCCTCCACCCGTTGTGTTGTTGCCCGCTGCGTTCAGGTTGTAACGACTCGGTCATGCCTTCATCGGCATATTACCTACACGTTGGGACCCTGTGTCCACCGTGTAGAGCATTGCTGCTCCTCGAATCAGTGTCTGCTGTGGTGTCCCTTCTGCCGCCCCCCCCCCCTTTTTTTGACTTTCCGGATAGCAGCAGAACGATCCAAATGAACCTAGGACTGTAACCTAAATGGCTTGGACAACGGGTAGGACGCTGCAGGCTGCTGGCAGGATTCAACAGAATGAACTAAAGTGGGAGGGCTAACGGTGCCGGACGCCATGAGCTGAATAGCCGCTGTCGTGTATGCTCCCTCTGGCTTTCAGTTTGGCTGTAACTGTGGCGATCACAAAATCGTCCGGATGTGGTGTTCTCGTGAATGTACTGTAGGTCAGAACCTGTATCAAGTTGGAGGATAATCGTGATGAGAATTCATGTCGAGCGGGTGATTTCATCCTAAATGTAGCGGTCACAGCCACTGCATGCGGATTGCGCGAGCTCCTGAAGTCATCTCTGAAGTATTCTTCTTTGCGGATCTTTCGACTACGCTTACTGCACCTGTACTTCCCGTAGGGAAAGTGGCGTGAGTAATGCCATTCTTCACAAAACCAACAGTGTGTGGGCTTTTTCTTTGAGTTCGTTGAGAACCTGGTTGCCTTTTGGAAGTTATTTTGCATACCATGTCAGGCTGAGAAAATCTGGAATGTCCGATAATCGCAGCATCAGCCTTGAGAGTGATAAGCTGCTGGCACTCGGTGGTAAGTTTCTGAAAAGTCAACTCAGGATCCTGTTTAATGCGATCCAGTAGCCAGGTGCGAATATATATGGCGATTGAAGGTCAGCCACGAAGATGAGTCACTTGAATGGACCCTCGGTCATGGTTCTGAGCTGAAACCGCTCCCATTCTCTGTTGACCGCACCGGCATAGGTGACGAAATCTTCAGTATCCCTTTTGGTAATCTTGAGACACAGATAACAAACACTGGACAAGGAGCTTTGCCCACCGAATTTTGGCAAAAAATGGGACAGTACCTGCGAAACCAAGGTAACGAGGGAGTTTGGGGAGTATGAAAGTTGCGAACCGATCATGTTCAGCTGTCCCCAGTTCCCGCAGCAACAGTCGAACTTTCAATGTACCATTAAACTGAGCAAAGTCGATTTGAAACATGTCCTCATATTTCCTGAACCAACTTTCGAAAGTTCGTCCAGATTCAGCGTCGAAATTGAGTTCATTAATCGAACTGGCAGCAGCACCTGAGGAAGGAGACGGAGGCCCGACTGATTTTGTGGCATTCACCGGAATGTAGGGCATCAGAAATTAAAAAAGCCTCGCTTGAGCTGCTTCGAACTACTTCTGTTGCTGCTGTAAACTTATTAGGGAGTTGCTTCGCCGAAATTGACATCATGAGTTTCGGGTTGCGCCAGTTGTGACTTGCTGAACGCCCAGTAAACAAGTCACCGCGGCACCACCGGTGGCAAGAGGAGGCAAATAGGGGTGGCATTTTACGCTTGCCACCGATGGCTCCACCGGTGGCTAAAAGCGGCCAAAGGTGGCAACCCAAAAATTTCGTGATATATTTAATCGGTGGCGCATTCTAACAAATCGGTTTCAAAAATTACTTCATCAATAGAGCTCCAGTATCCAGATTATCGTGTTACATTTGTTTTCAGAAGGCTTTTATGCAACAAATGCTATGTTTGGCTTGTATTCACCAACAAAATCAGTGGCAAAGCTAGCCACCTTTGACCACCGTTAGCCACAGGTAGCACTGTGTTTACTGGGGGGTCGTGCAACTCCGTATGAATCCCTTGGCTTCGTGCTCCACCCACTATGGTATACCAAAAGGCACAGTAGCTTTACACAGTCCTTTAGGGGGGAAAGGAAAATTATTACAACTGTATTCATAGGGTAATCACAGAATGTTCAAGGTTATGCCATAATCTCCATGAGAGGGTGGGAAGCGTCGAGCTAAAGGTGCTCGATCCAGATTGGCCGGCATTCTGGCCTATCAGGACTGCAGGTCTGCAGCCTGCACGTGACATCCATTCAAATGATGTGAAGTTCAGCGATATTCGTACGGATGGCCTCCGTACAACCTGGGACCTATTGAATGTTTACCAACAAGTTCTAATCAGTGCGAAAGACAAGCCGTATATGGCTTTTGAAGCGTTTTGTGCGATGCACAGAGAACTGTTTCAGTTCCTTCCGGTGTAACCAACGGAGTGGCATGCTTCCAACGCAATTTGACCATATAGTAAAGTCTGGGAACTTGAGTGGCATCTACGCGCATTTTGACTTCACTATTTGTGGGACTTTCAAAGGTGAGGATGATCGAAACCTCAAATGAAGTATTAAAAATGAAATGTAGAATTGCCACTGACTGCAAGCGAAATATTATTGCAGCCAAACAAATACAGCTCTGAGGGGGTCACCAAATCAGATCCCGAACGAACGCGCCCTATTCGTCAATCCCGTCATCCACATGGCGCTAAAATCCAACAGCTAATTGTTGGCATGTTTGCTTATTATTCGCAATGGATACCATGCTGACAGAGCCAGAAATAAAACTTTTCCCCTACACGAGCGTGTACAACAGTCCTTCAGAAAATCAGAGTAGTTGGAGAAAGCTATGGTTGTGACAGTCGACTAAAATGCAGTCTTGGTTGTCGAGACAGACCCCTCAGACGTGGAAATTGGTGCATATCTGTCTCAGCACGGCCTGCCGGTGGCCCCCCTCTCTAGAACACTAACACCGAGCGAAAATGATTGCTCTGCTATTGAAGAGAGGCACAGGCCATCGTGGAATCTATCCGTAAATAGAAGCATTTTTTTCTTCCGAGAGCTCATCAAGCT